GAATAACTATATATTTTTCTACGTATTGGAAAACGGGGACATTCTTTGGTACAAGTAAAGGGGAATGCGATGTTCCTTGCTCTGCTGAGGAATGGAATTTTTTCACCGAGTCTTATTACATGCACCATTTACAAGAAGATTTTAGAAGAGGCGCTTTGGGAGATGAATTCAATGAAGAACCACTTGGGAAATTTGGATTTAGCCATTTATACAGAATTTTTTGTTCGCCTACTTGACAGATGTAATGTTGACAACAGACGATTGGATGCAAAAAGTTCGATGACAGAATGTGATGTGATATTCTGCAAAGGAAGTGGGCAAATAATTATTATGTACACCAAGCATAATTGCGGAAATTTTAAATAACCCAACAGACTTTTTATTTTTAACACTTAATTTTACTAATTCTCAAAAAAAAATTATTATTTTTTCTTATCTTTTATTTTTTCCAATTTCCCTCCGAATCATTACTCTCTCCATTTTTTGTATATTTTATTTAATTGGATCGATATAAGGAGCATCACGAATTGGAATATTTTGAATACAAACCGTGTGAATTTAGCTCTTCAAATTTGGGTAGTCAAATTTACTTTCTATTTAAAAATATTGATTTAAATAGTCTATTGAAACATAATTTTAAGAGTCAACTCTTTATAATAAAAAGTATTTTAAGTCAAACTCACTCTCTATTTTAAAAAGCTAATTTAAAAAGTCCATTGAAGCATAATTTTAAGAGTTGACTCTTTAAAATAAATGATATTTCACTGACTTATGTGGGAGGTCACTGACTTATGATGGTTGTGTTGTTTCGTCATGATGTTTGACTTGTGAACCATTGGGACGAGTCACATGTTGAACATTCGGAAGACCTCAATTTCATTCCTTTGCCTATAATACTCACACCGCAGTCATGATTGACCTTCATTTCTTAAAATATATTTTTTCTCCAAATTCATTTACAATTACACATTACATTGGATTAACTACATATTTCATCAACATTTTATTGAAATTAACTAAAAATCTTTTTTTTTTTTTATCAAAACAAAACAGAAGCTTAGTGTCATTTGAGGTAGTTGAAAATTGTTATTTCTCACCTAAGAAAATTAACTCTATTCCTGCATTTCTCTTTATTCTATGTTTCTCTCACACAAATCTTTGTCCCATAATTAACTTGAGTGTCGAGTGCGTACAGTGGTGACCTTCCCTCTCCTTGGAGATGTCTCGGTGTGTCTCTAACGTGTGTGTCAAAGTGTGCATGTAACATACGCGCGTAAAGGAGAGAGAAGTGGAGAACTGTTGACACATTGAGTACCAATTAGATTTGAAGGTCAACAATTTAATTAAAATTATTTTAAATCATTTTCAGCCAAAAGAGAAAATAAGTGACTACTACCAACTATTCCTTCATAAAATAGAAGAAAATAGAAATTATATACATTAAAGAGACGTCCTTAAAAGCAATATATTTGACCCCTGCCTA